AAATTCTAGATCCCAGTTCAGTGGTTCTTCAGTGGTGTAGGGTGAAGATCTTTTATGTTCAGGTGCAAAGCACTCGTTCGAAAGGAAGCTGGCCAGGCATGGTTGTGCAAACCTGTAATCCTAGTATTATAAGGCTGAGACAAGATAATCTCAAGGCAAGCCTGGGCTACATACGGAGTTCAAGACCAAACTGGACTACAGAGAGAGACACTATCTCAACCCCTCCCGTCAAAAAGCTTGAGTAGTTGTCGTGTAATTGCAGGATTAAAATGTAAATATAGAAGAAAAACTATTAGAAAACATCAAAGTGTTAGGTTTTCCTTTTTGTGGGAGAAAAATTGCAAAACAAAAATGGGCAAAAATTTGGACAGTGTATTTAAAAATGAGAAACCAAATTTAATTAAAATACCAGATTAAAACAGATCTTTCTCAGATGAGCAGGCAGTCAAGAGATGAGGGAGGGAAGGAGTGAGGGAAGATAAAAGGAATCAAGATGTGTTACATGCATATACCAACTACACACAAGCAATGAAAATAGGTACCAGAAAGAGGGGGATCAAGGGATTAGTGGAAAGGGGCATGGATGGAAGGGAAAGGAAATAAAGAAATTGAGGATACATAATCCTTCCCACAAAGATTATAAAGGCATATGCACACATGTACTATATTTACATATATGAGCATCACATATGTTCAAAGAACATGTGTGGATAATTCATAGAAGAGGGGAAATAGCTTATAGGAAATAATTAATGGAATGCAGCTTTCACTCAGAAATGAAAATGCCAATTAAAATTAGTGAGATGGGTTGGGGACATAGTTCAGTGGCCCAATACCTGCCTCCCAAGCAGGGAAGTCCTGAGTTTGACTCCCAATACAAAAGAAGAAGAAAACCATAAAATCAGTAATGTTTTATACATGGAGTAGCTGAGTATGGGTACTTTTTTGAATTGTATGATCATTGTAACACTAATGAATACAAAATGTAGTTAATATGAAACGATACAAAATGAGACTAACTATAAATGAGTTCTATATGGGGGTTAAAACTGAAGATGATTGACTTGGGAATGGTGGTGCACACCAGCACTGAAGAGGCTAAGTCAGGAGGATTACTCCTTTGTGAAATACCAGCCTAGGGTCCATTGTGAGTTCAGGGCCAGTCTGAACTACATACATAGTGAGACCCTATCAACTGTGTCTTACAATTTCCCCACTGAAGTTCTATTAACATTTTAATGTGTTTTTCTCAGTCTTTCTTTAATACAGAGGATTTTGACAGGGTTGTAATTATTTTGTGGTTGTTTCATTTTGAGATAGGCTCTGTAGATCATCCTGGCTGGCCTTGAACTCTGTGTAGCTCAAGGTGATCAGAAACTCTTAATCCTGTTGCCTCAGTCTTCCAAGTGCTAAAGATTATGGATGTGTGCTGCCATGCCCATCTCATTTTGTGTTTTTAAATGTTACCGTATTCCCTTAATGAAATTAAGAATAAGAGTTTGGGGGCTGGAGATTTAGCTCAGCGGCATAAGTACCTGCCTTGCAAGTGTGCGGTCGAGAGTTCGATCCTTGGTACCCATAAAAACGAAAAAGACAAAAAAAAAAAAAGAGTTTGATGAATCTTTTGTGGGGTATGGGGTTTTTCCCCTTTTGATTGTCTTCCTTGAAAAATCTCAGCATAGATGACTTACGAGGTCTGCTTTCATCCTGACATCATATTAATGTGGCCTGTGTTTAAGAACATTCAACCTATAGGTCATTTACTTTACAGTTGAGAGAGATAGAGTGTTTTGAGATGGGCCTCACGTTGTTCCCCAGGCTGGTCTGGAACTCCTGAGTTCCAGCAGTCCTCCCATTTTAGCTTCCTAAAGAGCTGAGTTGTGTGTTGAAAATAAAAGTTGTGAGGTATCTAAATCCAAACCCAGATTGATCCGAGGACACTGGCAGTAAACTAATATTCTCAGTGACCTTTCAAGTAAGTCTTCACATTATTGAGATTCTAAAATGCCATTAAATTTTAACTTTCATGGTTCTTTATGTGTTTATTTTTTGGTATTTTGAGAACAGGTCTCATTGTGTAGTTCACACTGGTCTTCAACACCCAGCAATCCTCCCGCCTCAACCTCCCAAGCGCCACTACACCCAGCAGTTCTTTGGAATAAGATCTTACTAATAGGGCTGGGGATAGCTCAGCAGCATAAGCACCTGCCTTGCAAGCAGGCAGTTGTGATTTTGATCCCTGGTACCAATTTAGAAAAAAAAGATCTTATTAATAGATTATTTGTTCCAGCGAGTTTACACACAGTCTTCTTTGCTTGAATTCATTTATTGCAATCTTTACCACTTGACAATTTTATTCTTGTGAGTTTGGTTGTTTAGTACCTGAGATCAAAGTCACAACCTTGCACTTGTCAGGCAGGAGCTTATGCCCCTGAGCTAAATCCTCATCCCTTGACAATTTTAGAAGGGTTCTAATGTATCAAAATCAATGTGTACTTAATTGCATTATTTAAAAATTGTTATACCATCTTTTTCCCAAATGTTAAGTTTATCAGCTGAGTAATTTTGGAGGTTTTTTGGTACTGGAAATCCAAGTCATGACCTTGCATGTGCCTGGCAGGCGCTGTGCCACTGAGCTGTATCCCTGGCTCAAGCTGAGTAATTTTGAAGGCCTGAGAAAAATTTCTGGGACAAGGGGCTGGGAATTTAGCTCAGCGGCATAAGCGCCTGCCTTGCAAGTGTGTGGTTGTGAGTTCAATCCCTGGTACCGATAAAAAAGAAAAAGACAAAAACAAAAAACAAAAAACACAACGATGATAAACCTATGGCACATACACACATTCTGCAGCCTACTGTTATTGAAAAAAGGTAGTTACTTAAAAATTAAAGCTCAAATGACGGTACTAACAAGAGATTTGAAGTATGTAGCTGATGGTTAATAAAGGCATGGAGGGAGACTAGAGGTCTCTCATTAAGAGGTTCCCTTAAATGACCCAGAGAGAGGTTCTTCAGAACTGATGCTGTAGCCAAGACTGGCCTCAGGCCGAATTTCTTGGTAGCACAACCTCTCAGACTTCTTTGTCTGTGATTAATTGTGAAAAATAAACTTTGATGTGGACCTCAGTAGCCTTTATTGTTCTGGCATTCAAGGTAGTATATTTTGGCATAATGATTATTTTAGAGTTAGTAAATTGAAACAAAAAATAAAAAGCATACTTCGCAAGCTTGCAGCAGTTGACTTGATTGGTGATTGGTGGACACCACTGTTTTCTCTGATACCATTGTAAGTATTCTTTGAAATTTGTAAAGGGCAGAAAGAGCTTTGGTTGGTTTAAAAATTAAAATTGTTTGCTTTATAGTTAAAGTGTCCTTTCTGTTTAGAAGAGCTATTTGACTAGTGTGAACATATAAAAATGCACAATTGTAGATTTACTAGGAAGTTCACTCATGGTGTCTTCTCTCAGGAACTATGCTGCGATGTATACAGAGAGCAAATGCAAGGGTGTTCATTGCTGTATTGTACACACACTCCTTTCCTGTGGTTGTAATCTGTGGACCACTCTATCCAGTAAAAAATTAAACTGGCTTCTGTATTTTGTGAATTCCTAGGTATTATTAGAAAAGCAGGCTACTGAACAGCCTTTATAATTTTAAAAATGAAAAGTTTTTTTTTTCTTGTAAGCATACAGTATGATGTAAAATTTCTAAACAAGGTTTGAAAGCTCACTTGTCAGTTGCTCTTGATAGATGCTTTTGCCCTAGGGGAGTGCTATTGTGGGGTATGATTCCAGGGCATACTGAGTTTTACCCTTGCCAGATTGTTTTTACAAGAATGTATCACTGTATATAGTTTGTGTAGTGCTGTAGAAACATCTGTAGACTTTATTGATTGTGATTTATCTAAATTGAAATAAAAGGGGCAAATGGAATTTAGGGCTTAATAGTGGTGCTTCTCCCAGGCTCACTTAATCATGGGTTGTGCCTAATGAATGTCTGTCTTTTAGTGACAGTAATTTAGAGAATCTTAGAATTACCATCCAAGGAAATTTTTCAAAATAAAAACCACCAGGGGTTGTGTGGCTTAGAAATTGGTGCTTGGATTGCACTCTCAAAGAGTGTTTCTTGAAGTAGAGTGTGGATATTGAGTTTTCCAGTGTGTAGCTAACAGTGCCATGTGCCACTGCCTTAAACTTGACTTCTTTGGTTGTCACTCAGGATGTGAAGAGTAATCTGCTCATAAGCAATAATTCTCTGGTAATTTGAACTAAAGTCTTCTCCAGTTAATGCTCTTCCTTTCTTCCCTGACACACTACACTCTACTCCTCTCTCTTACTTCTTTGTAACCCTTCCAGTGGAATGACCTCCCTTGTGCAGTACTGAATTCCCAGTGCCTAGTGCAGAGCTAGATGTCATTTGGACAATTGAGCAAATGATGAGTAAATGTTTATTAAATGAATGGAAAATAGGTCTTCTACTGAGTGAAATAGTACTTGGAAGGTGAAGCAGTATCGAGATAACCTGAAATTGTGGGATGGGAGTGTTAGTTAAAAACTGGGGAAATGCAGACCTGTGCGTCTTACTCCATTTTCATTGATCTTAGTAAGATAATGATCTTAGAATTTTAATTAGATGACAACTTAATAGGCTTGAAAACTCCTGATATTGGCCCAGGGATATAGCTCAGCAGCACAGTGCTTGCCTGGCAAGCAAAAGGTCCTGAGTACAAAAAAAAAAAAAAAAAAAAAAAAAAATCCTCCTGATACTGAAATGATACAGAAATGAGACTATGCGCCTTCATACTTTTTTTTAAGATAAAAGAGGTGTTATAACCAGTGAATAGAATCTAGCCACATACTGTCCATTTTAATTGAATCCTAGATCTCTGCCGTTTCATCTTACACCAGCTATTATACCTTAAGATACATTATATGAATAAGCATATATTTGTTAATGTTGTTTGATGCCAAACCTTATTGCTTTGTTTTTTCCTCTATCTGTAGGCTAAAGAAATCCTGACAAAAGAATCCAACGTGCAGGAGGTCCGATGTCCAGTTACCGTCTGTGGAGATGTACATGGGCAATTTCATGATCTTATGGAACTGTTTAGAATTGGTGGCAAATCACCAGATACAAATTACTTGTTTATGGGAGATTATGTTGACCGAGGCTATTATTCAGTTGAAACAGTTACACTGCTTGTAGCTCTAAAGGTAATTTAAATTTTATATTTGGACTTTTGAACTGGGTAAGACAGATCTGTTAAATATTCAGGGTTTTTTCCTAGTGATGTTGCAGTTTTTCTCCAGCTGTGTTACATTTCAGAATAAAATTCCTTACTTAGGAATGAAGTAATATAAACTTTATATATACCAGTTGTAGTTTTTTTTTAAAATCGGTACCAGGGATTGAACTCCACGACCACACACTTGCAAGGCAGGCGCTTATGCCGCTGAGCTACATGCCCAGCCTCACCAGTTGTAGTTTGTGAAATGTAGAGATAAAGATCTGAAGGTGAGGGGCTGGGGGTTTAGCTCAGCGGCATAAGCGCCTGCCTTGAAAGCAGGCAGTCGTGAGTTCGATCCCTGGTACCGATAAAAAGGAAAAAGACAAAAAAAAAAAAAAAAAAAAAAAAAAAGATCTGAAGGTGAAACAAAGTACTATGGGTAACTTTTAGGGAAGAATGTTTCTGCCTTTTGCTGATAAAAAAATTTGACTTTATCTTTGGGATATCCTTTCCTTTTTCTTTTTTATTCTTTTATTAGACAATAGATTCGTGTTACAGAATATTCACAGTAGAGTGAGTGTCACATACTTTGCCAATATTAAAGAAGTAGTATGTCATGATTTCAGCAAGAGCTGAGTTGCAGGTGATTGATCATCTTTTTTTTGGTTCATTTTTGGTTGTTTTTTTGTTTTGTTTTGTTTGTCTTTTTTCTTTTTTATCGGTATCAGGGATCGAACTCACAACTGCCTGCTTGCCAGGTGCTTATGCTGCTGAGCTAAATCCCCAGCCCCCATTTTTGGTTTTTTGAGACGGAGTGCTACTGTGTGGTACAGCCTAGTGCTGAACTCACTATGTAGCCTAACGTGACCTTGAACACAGCAATCCTTCTGCCTCAGCCTCCTGAGGGTTATGATTACAGAAATGTGCCACCATGCCTGGCCAGTAATTGATACCTTAAAACAACAAAGGTGATTTATTTTTGTTTGTTTTGTTTTGATACTGGGAATTGAACTTAGCCTTGTGCATGCCAGGCAGTTGCTGTGCCACTGAGCTATATCCCCACCCCAGTGATACCTTAATTGTGTGAAAAGCTACAGAAGTTTTTTGGAAGTCATTATATTTTGCATTTGTAAAATGAAGGCATTGGATTGGATAAAGGAAGTTACTTCCTGTGGCTTTAGATATTGTGAAGTAACCTAGCAAGCCACGAGTGCTTTAAAAAAAGCATAGGCTTGATCCCAGTTCACAGGAAAGGAACAAATATACTGCCTTCGAAAATTTACTCAGGAGCCACACATGACCTTTAATCCCAGAATTTAGGAGGCTGAGGCAAGAGGATTGCTGGGAGTTCAAGACCAATCAATAATAAGACCCTGTCCTCAAAAAATAAAACCTCAGGAAGTATAATGAATTGAATTGTGTCTTCTCAAATTTTATGTATCAAAGTCTTAATCCCCAGGACCTCAGAATGTCAATTTAAAGTCAGAGCCTTTACAGAGATAATTAAATAAAATGGGAGAGCCTTAATCCTTGAGTGGTATCCTTAGAAAAAGAGATTAGGGTAGAGACAGGGAAGAAGATAGGAAGACACATGGAGAAAATACAAATCTGTAAGTCAGGGAGAGGGACTTTGAAAGAAACCAGCCTCCTTGGTACCTTGATCTTGGGCTTCTGGCTGCAGAAATCTGAGGAGATAAGTTTCACTTATTCCGTAGTTCTTTATTACAGCAGCCCTAGCAACAGATGAGTGCAGGGAGGTGGGAAGGGGGGAGGGGGGAGGGGGATGGCCATTTCAGTAAATAGTGGTGGAACAAATTGATCATAAGGCTTGGGATGTATCTCCCAGGCACAAAGCCCTAGGCTGTGAATCCTCAGCACCAAAACAACAACAAACCCATGGACGCCAAAAAACCACAGACCTAAATGCAAGATCTGATTAAATTTCCAGAATACTTTGAAGAGGGGAAAAAAAACCTTTGTGATCTTTTGTTAGGCAAAGACTTCTATTATATATGTTTACAAAAATATCTGTTAAAAAAATAGAAGACTTGATTTTCTGAAAAGTAAGTTTTGCATTCTTCAAAATATATCACAAGGAGCTGGGGATACAGCTCAGCACAATAAGCACCTGCCTGGCAAGCATAATTCCCAGTACCAAAAAAAATATCATAAAACATACCACAAGGCTGGGCATGATGGTACACAGCTTGTAGTCCCAACTCAGAAGGCTGAGGCAGGAGGATGACTGCGAGTTTGAGGCCAGCTTGGGCTGCAAAGTGAGTTCAAGGGTAGCCTGAATTGCATAGTGAAACTCTATCAAAAAGACAAAAAAACAAAACAAAAACCACACCTCAAAAGAAGTATATTCAGTCTTAAAAAACTTAGGATGCATTTTTTCAAGTCTACTTACTTTAAGGAGAAAAAAAAAAACTAAAACAAATTTCACAACACGTCAATCTACTATACATTTTAGTTTTCATTTATTTTTGGTACTGGAGAATGGATCCAGGGCCTCCTACATGCTAATCAAGTACATGCTCTGCCACAAAAGTCGCACCCACATCTTTATGTTTTGTTTTGTTTTGTGAGACAGGGTCTTGCTGTGTAGTTCAGGCCAGCCCTGAACTTGCCTCAGCCTCCCAGGTACTAAAATGACAGGCATGCACCACCATGCCCTGCTCTTCATTTATTGTTTTATAACGCCTCTGAATTTAATAACAAGACAGGTAACTTTTAAGTGGGAAAAAAATCTTTAAACTATTTCTCTCAAGAAATACATGGCTAATAAATACATGAAAAGATGCGTAATACATTTAGTCATTCGGGAAACGCAAGTTGAGATAACTGAGTTAGCACTTCGCATGTGTTAGGATGACTAATTGAAGGCTCTTGTTGCCATGCATTGGTGGATACGCAGAGGTAAGGATGCTCGTGCATTGCAGTAGGAATGTGAAATGGCTCAGCCAGTGTAGTGATTCTTGGAAAGTTAGAGCATGTGCCTCCTATACCTAACAGTTAATACTCCTAATAATCTGTCTATCTGTCTAAGGGGAATGAAAGTATATGGTCCTGCAAATGATCATAGCACCACTTCCCAATGGTCCCAAAACTGTAAGTCACCAGTCACCCTGCTGGTGAATGGAGAAACAAAAAGTGGAACTATAAAAAGTAATAAACCCTTGACCTGTGCTACAACATAGACCAGTCTTAAAATGGTTCAAGTGATGCTTTGCATAGAGGAGTATACTTTATATGTTATTCCATTTTTATGGAATGTCTAGAAAAGGCAGCCTCAAAAAGGAAAGTAAATCAGTGGTTGCCAGGATCTAGAAGTGGAGAGTGACTGCAGACAGGCATGAGAGATCTTTCCAGGCTAATGAGAAGGTTCCAGATCTGGATTGTGATAATTGCTGTGTAACTAAATTTACTAAAAATCCTTGAACTGGAAAAAATAATGCACATATGAGGCCTTATGACTGAAGAGTACTTGGTATAAAGTAGGTGGTAGAAGTTACTTGATTTAACTGAAATGAGGTTGACAAATCATGTCATGAGCATTTATGTTTGTAAATCATATTTCAGTGTAATGTGGGGCTGTGTTTTTTCAGCTGATTTCCCAGTAGAAAGCTTCCTGCATTCTCATTTGAATTTTGAAGGGACTAGCTATGTTTCCTGTTTTGTTGTTTTTCAGGTTCGTTACCGTGAACGCATCACTATTCTCCGAGGGAATCATGAGAGCAGACAAATCACACAAGTTTATGGTTTCTATGATGAGTGTTTAAGAAAATACGGAAATGCAAATGTTTGGAAATATTTTACAGATCTTTTTGATTACCTTCCTCTCACTGCCTTGGTGGATGGGCAGGTTTGTGCACCTTAAAACTCATTGTTGATTACTTTTAGGATATCTGCTTATCCCTCTGCCCATTCCTACAACTGTCGGGCTGGCCAAGCCAGCCTTAAACTTAGAATCTTCAGCCTCCCAGATACTGAGGTATATAGGCCTGTGAAACCCCCAGGGCATCTGCTGTTATCTTTTTTTTCCTTCTACCTTTTATGGGACCAAAGATTTGAATCCAGCAGGGACTTTGCACTAAACTTGATCTCCAACACTTTTTAAATTTTGAGACAGGGTCTTGACCTTGAAATGTTCCCACTTTTTTCTTCTAGAGTTCAGGGATAATCTGCTTTATTAATGTTTAGGGTGGGCATGGTAGCACACACCTGTAATCTCAGCACTCTAGAGACTGAGGCAGGAGGACTACTGTGAGTTTGAGGCCATCCTGAATTACATAATGACACCTATCAGGACAGATGTTGAGGTGCAAGTGACTTCTCCATTTGGGACTTAGTGGAAGTTTTTGTTTTGTTTTTTGCCTTTTTTGTAGCAAGCACTGTAGTGTATGGGGTGGGATCATGGGGATAGAAAATGAAGCCCAATTCTAAGAGATACAAAGACCTGTTTACTGTGTCCAGGAAAGGTGGTCCGTAGAATTTACAAGAAAAGCCTGTGAGTGTGAAGGTGCTACAGTTAGTTTTAGTGGAGGGGAGCACATAGCATTAAAAGGTAACATTTTCTTGATGGAGCTGATCGAGATGGAGTCTGAATGTAGCACAGGTAGTGTGTCAGGGCAAAAGATGTTCAGTAGTTCGCAGTAGGCTGGAGGAAAGGTGGGTCTTCGAGGCAGACTTCATCCAGGAAAAGCATAGAAACACCCATTGGGCCAGACGGTGGGGCTGACTACTTGCTACTCAGTCTAGAATACTCTAGAGTTTCTTTTACATGAAGTTAACATTTTAAACCAATCTTTTCAGATCTTCTGTCTACATGGTGGCCTCTCTCCATCCATAGATACACTGGATCACATCAGAGCACTTGATCGCCTACAAGAAGTTCCCCATGAGGTATGGCTTTCACTTGGTGATAGTCTTTTCAGAAAACTTTATAGAGAGAGCAGTTTAATTATAAGTACGTTTTATATGTTAAACAGTCCTTTAAGTGTGAACACTATTAGCCTCATTGTTCACAAGGTTAGAAACCTGCCAAGACCTCAGGAGGTGTGGGACCAGACTATAGGTAGATTGAGGTGCCTGCACATTGATGCCAGTTGCACATCATGAAGACTTGCACATCATGAAATATCTGTCATTGCACAGATGTCTTAACTAAAGACCTTCAGCAAACAGCACTCAGAAAGTGAGATAGGAAGCTGCTTCCGATGAATTACCAGTCTTATATAACTTGAACTTGTTTTTTTAGGGTCCAATGTGTGATTTGCTGTGGTCAGATCCAGACGATCGTGGTGGTTGGGGTATATCTCCTCGGGGAGCTGGTTATACTTTTGGCCAAGATATATCTGAGACATTTAATCATGCCAATGGCCTCACGTTGGTGTCTAGAGCTCACCAGCTGGTGATGGAGGTACGTTCTGCTCTTTGAAGTAAGACTTGTTTTTTAGTAAACTACATGAGAGAAGATACTACGGAGTTCTATTTTAATGCTGTTATTTAGATACCCCATGTGTTCCTTCTCTTGAGTTTGGCATTGTAGCTTGAGCCTTTTGGTAGCTGCACACTAGAATTAAAACCAAGCTTTTGATAATAAAATACATATTTAACATATTTGAGAGAATTCTTAATAACTGGAAAGCATTTGTGATTTAGGGAAGTAAGATACAGGGAGATGGGGGGACTGTGTCATTTTATGATCCTATTTTTATTTCATATATATAGCATGTGTTAAAGTGATCTGAAAGAAGAAACAATGGGAAACGTGCGAGGGCTTTTGGCATAAAATATTGATTAGCATACTTTTCGAATTAGGGTCTTACTTAAATTAATAAGATTTGTGAGAAATTTGTGAACAGTACTAAGGATAAAAACTAACAGAAGTAGCTCTTGCATTCAGATGACTTTGAGTGTGTCACACTCAAGACTAGAGGTGTTGGGGCTGGAGGTTTAGCTCAGCGGCACAAGCACCTGCCTTGCAAGCAGGCGGTCGTGAGTTCGATCCCGGTACCGATAAAAATGAAAAAGACCAAAAAAAAAAAAGACTAGAGGTGTTTATGGACAGCAGCCAGCTTAGGGACCTTCTACCCATGCCTGAGAAGAAAATTAATAAGCTTCTGGTCTAGAAGTAGATGTATTTTAGTGTGCTTCCTGTCACTGTAATGTTACCTGACACAAGATACTTGTAAAGAGAGATTAGTTTAGGCTCAGGGTTCTGAAGGTTGAAGTTTTAAGAGTGGGCAGCCTTACTGGTTTGGGTTTCTGGTAAGGATGGCTCAGCATAATGGGTACATATCTGTGACCAGGATTCAGGTCCAGAACCAGGAAAACAAGATGGAAACACGTTGGGCCCCCATAGATGTCTTCAGGGGTACATGCCAATGAAAGGACCTGCCACTAGGTCTCATCTCCTCATATCACTACCCTGGGGATTAAACCTTTAACACAGCATGTGTTTTGGGGGCACATGTAATATTCAGACTAACCGTAGGTATTTACTTCTGCAAGGCATGGTCATATAGTCCTGTATTTTAAATCATGTTCTTCATTCATTTTGTTTTGATTTTGGATTTTGAGACAGGGTCTTAGTTTGTGGTTTAAGTCTGGCCTTAAAGTCTCAGAGATCCTCCTGCCTGAGCCTCCAGAGTGCTGGGATTACAGGCCTGTTTCATTCTTAATTCATGTTTAGTTCACCTTAATAAGAGGCTGATAAGACAGGCATTTACAGAGGGCCAGCTGAATATACAGCTTACCAGTGTTATTAAGTACTCTGCCACTGAGCTCCAGCCCCACTACACAACCATCTTTTTCCTTATTGTTGAAACAGTTTGGGTAATTGTCCAGGTTATCCTTGAATTTGTGATTGTCCTGCCTTGGCCTCCTAAGTAGCTGGGATTACAGGTGTGATCCCATGCCCAACTTTTTTTTCTTTTTATAATAAAAAACTAGTTTTGGTTTGTTAATTTGGGAAAAGCAAATACATACATATATATATATATCATAGTTTTTACAAAATACAGAATATTAAGTGTTTTGTGAAGATGTTACAGGTCTGTCTGGTTTTTGTTTTTTGTTGTATGTAAATTACAGAACAAATAACTTTTTTCCCTTCTTTGTAGGGATATAACTGGTGCCATGACCGGAATGTAGTAACAATTTTCAGTGCTCCAAACTATTGTTATCGTTGTGGTAATCAAGCTGCAATCATGGAACTTGATGATACTCTAAAATATTCTTTGTAAGTGTTAATACCTGACTATTTGGTTGCCATTGGGCAGGTGTAAATATTCATGAATTCATGCTAATTCCAAGTTGGTTTTTAAATTTTCTTTGAAATAGACCTATGATGTATTAAAACGCATCAGAAACTAACCCTATATAGACTCTGTTATTGATCACAAGGTGTTCAATTTTTAAACATGTGCTTTTTTGTGGACTTAATAAGGTGTATTCTGAGGATGAGAAATCAGATACAATATTCAGATCTTTTAAGTTTTACACACTTGGTAGAGACTTTCTTTCAAACCATCTTAGAAGGAATGGCATTGTATAATAAAAACATGGCTTCCTAGCTAAGTTCTTACTGAGGAATGTAGCTGAAAGACCTTGCATATATGATTTCAATTGCAATTAAAGTTTTGTTTTCTTATGCAAGTTAAAGTTGGATAGGAAAAAGTTACTTAAAGTTTCAAAGACTGAAGTTCTTATGAATACATCAGTGACTTTAAATATAAACATTGAACTTGGTCTTATTTTTCAGCTTGCAGTTTGATCCAGCACCTCGTAGAGGCGAACCACATGTCACTCGTCGTACCCCAGACTACTTCCTGTAATGAAATTTTAAACTTGTACAGTATTGCCATGAACCATTTATTGACCTAATGGAAATGGGAAGAGCAACAGTAACTCCAGAGTGTCAGAAAATAGTTAACATTCAAAAAACTTGTTTTCACACGGACCAAAAGATGTGCCATATAAAAATACAAAGCCTCTTGTCATCAACAGCCGTGACCACTTTAGAATGAACCAGTTCATTGCATGCTGAAGCGACATTGTTGGTCAAGAAACCAGTTTCTGGCATAGCGCTATTTGTAGTTACTTTTTGCTTTCTCTGAGAGACTGCAGATAATAAGATGTAAACATTAACACCTCGTGAATACAATTTAACTTCCATTTAGCTATAGCTTTACTCAGCATGACTGTAGATAAGGATAGCAGCAAACAATCATTGGCGCTTAATGAACATTTTTAAAAATAAGTACCAAGCCTCCCCTCTACTTGTGAGTTTTGAAATTGTTTTGTTTCTTTTCAGGGATACTGTTTAATTTAATTGTATGATTTGTCTGCACTCAGTTTATTCCCTTCTCAAATCTCGCCCTCATGTTGTTCTTTGTTATTGTCAGAACCTGGTGCGTTGTTCTGAACAGAAATGTTTTCCCCCTTCCTGTAAGACCTGATGTTACTGCACAAGAACACTGCAGTGTTTTTCATAATAAACTTGTGAACTAAGAACTGAGAAAGTCAAATTTTAATTGTATCAGTGGGCAAGATTGGTGCTGTTTTAAAGATAAATCAATTAATTTTAGAATTTATAGAATTCTTGGTAAATAAAAATATCAAGGCCACTACACAACCTCTCTGATAACTTTCTGACATTCTTTAGGGGAACTTCAGGATTCATTTGTATAATTGTCATTGCCAGTGTACTTTGAACTTGTCTTTGAGAAAGGAAATCTGTGCTGCTTCTGTTAGATCTGATTGTTAAACTGTGTAACACCAGGGTTAAGGTTTTAGGATTTAAAGTGGCATGTTTTCAGGTAGAGCTTAAATGATGTGTCAACTTAGTGCAGTTCCTGGTTATAAATATTATATTGCTATGTATATTTATGATAATTTAAAATAATGGACAGATTGGTAAGTTCTTAAGTATTTGTATATTGCCTGTGAGTCATGTGATCTTAATGTCGTAGCTGTTACAGCATTATCCTGTATTCTTTTAAGTGATAATCAGTGAAAGCAAATAGCAAATTATTACTGGATCGTTCATTATTACTGGATGGTGTACGTTTACCCAAAGGAAAATAGCATTTGAAGTGCCAGTGCTCAACATTTAATGAATTTTTCCCTTTTTATCCTTTGAATAGGATTAGAAGTTCTGTGCAAATTAATACTTAATTTTTTTAAGCTACCAAGGTATACTTTTAAGAGCTCTAATCATTAATTGTGTGTGAGTATAGTTAATAAACATTTCCTTGCTTTGTACTGTGTTGAATTTGGAACCAATAGAAAAGTTACAGTATTCCTTTTGTAAGAAGAATGAGAAAAATATACATACACAAGTTTGAAGTGTGTGTATATATTTGAAGTAAATTTTCTTGAGTGGTCCACTATTTCTTCTCCAGTGTCATTCAGACTGGATTTGAACTCATTATATAGCCTAGGTTGGCCTCAAACTTGTAGTGATCTTCCTGCCTCAGTCTCCTGAGTGCTGTGATTACAGATGTGTACCACTATACCTGGGTTTTCCAAGTCTTGTTATAGTACAGTTGACAAAAGGAATTGATACCTTGTAATTAACATGTGGTGCTGTCATCCAGATTAAAAACCCTTAAATATCGTAGCTACCTCAGTGGAACTTGTGTTAAGAGTTGGTGTTTTTGGAGTAGCAGAGTTGGAGCGGATGACTGGGCTTTTCCACCTGGACTTGAAGTGTTGGTCCCTTAGCTTCTATGAGATGAGTAAGGCACTAATAAGTATGGCCGTTTCCTCTAAAAATTTAAAACATTAAAAGCTTCATGCTCCAAGAACGAAGGGCAGTCACAAGGCAGTCTGGGCTTAGCTTAGAATGTAGGGGTCACACACACACAGCATTCTGAGTACTTTAGACTGCATAAGACTGTAGAACTGCTGTAGAAGTTTGTAACAGTGAATTTTTAGAGTGATGGACTTATTTCTTGGGTTGAATATTTTAAGCAGACCAGTTTAAAAATTTTTTAACAACAAAAATTTCATGTATTAATGGGGTGCAGTGTAATGTTTCAGTACACGAATACATTTTATAGTGTTCAAATCAGATTAAAAATATCTTGTCTCAAACATTTATCATTTGTCTATGACAAAAACTTCAAAAATCCTTTCTTTTAGCTTTTTTGAAATACACAATACATTGTTACCCATAGTTACCTCCCTGTGCAGTGGTGCTCCAGAATGTCTTCCTTCCATCTAACTGTAGCTTAGTGGCCATTGGCCAGTCTTTACCCAGGCCTCCCCAACACAAAGGATTTGGTTGCGTATTAAAATAGGTGATTGTAGAATCGTGTCTTAGTTGGTAGTTTGACGTGCTGGTGTTATTTTTCACAGTGAGTTGGTTGAATAGAAAAACAAATTATTTCTGTGGTTCTTAGAGTTCCTAGTCTCCATACCCTTAGAGATCCTTTTAAGTTGTTTGGAGGAATCCAGACAAATATTCTTTTTTTTTTTTTTTTTTGGCCTTTTTCCTTTTTATCGCTACCGGGGATCGAACTGCTTGCAAGACAGGCGCTTATGCTGAGCTAAATCTCCAGCCCCTCAGACAAATATTCTAATGTCTAGGGTTGATAACTTGTTTCCCAACTACAATTTTTTTTTTTTTTTTTTTTTGAGAAAGGGGTCTCACTATGCAGTTCAGCTGGCCTTGAGCTCACAATGATCCTCCCACCTCAGTCTCCCGAGTGCTGGGATTACAGGCGTGAGCCACCATGCCTGGCTCCAAAGTACAAATTTAAGGAAACTGAGTTACATTGATGAGTGATAGTTTGTAGGTTTTAGTAAATAATTAAAATGTTTATGTGACTGTTGTTTAGTACTGACTGTCCTTTGTAATGCCTTATTTTAACCCATTTATGCCAAAGATTGGTGGGTTTTTTTGTTTTAAGGCAGAGTCTCACTATGTGTTCAGGGCTGACCTTGAACTCATTATGTAACCCCAGGCCACCCTCAAACTCATGGTGTTCCTCCTGCCTCAGGTCCCAAGTACTGGGATTACAGGCATGCACCTACACGCCTAGCAATTTTGACTTCTTGCATGAAATGCATTTATGTTGCCTAGAAAAGCTCAAGGAAGAAAATTTTTACTATGTTCCGTTTTTATGTGTGTTCTAAAAATGGAATGCCAGGCATTGAAGGATTATCACACTTGTGCTGCCAAGAGTCTTGAGTTGCCAGTGAGAATGTGTTAAACCACAAGTGTGTTCTAGAAGTGGGACTGAAATTTAGTAATAGACTGTTTTGAGGTTAGTTCTGTTCCCATGAACCAAAACTTTTTCATTAAACTTTAATTTGTTCTCACATTATTGACTGACATAGAATTTTTTTAAAACTTGTTTTTCTGCATAGCTGTACCTCTGTTCTAGAGAATAACCTTTGTCAGAGTTGTAGATGTATTTGGGCATGCCTGATGGACCCTCGTATCTGTTTTAATTATAGTTTAAGCTTTGTGTCTTAGAAGGATGTTATTTGTGCTTTTTGTTACATATGTTAATCTCAAGTATTGCTATCCAAGAGTGGAATGTCACTGTAACAGGCCAGTTGATGTGCATTTATTGATGTCCTGGTAAATAGGTTAAAATGTTTCTCGTCTGGTATGTAAACTTGGGGAAAATGAGGGTTATGTTTGAGTTTAAAAGTTGAACATAGAAAGCTGGTAAGAGATAAAAGAGGAATTATAGCCTATGGCCCGGTGCCAAAAAATGGGCCTTATTTTTAAATTTTTTTTGCCTTTTTGAGGCGGGGTTTCATTATGCAGTTAAGGCTGACCTTGAACTCCTGGTGATCTTCCTGCCTCAGCCCCCTGAGTCCTGGGATTACAGGTGTGTCAGCATTGTGTCTGACCTCATACTTTTGTTTTTAATGACAGAATCATGAACTAGCTGGGTGTGATGGCTCACGCCTGTAATCCCAGCACTCGGGAGGCTGAGGCAGGAGGATCATTGTGAGTTCAAGACCAGCCTGGGCTACAGAGTGAGCTCAAGGCCAGCCTGAACTGCATAGAAAGACCCTGTTTCAAAAAGACCAAAAGAAAAAGAAAATCATGAACTTGGAGCTCATGGCTGGAGTTCTGAATAGTTTATGTCCTCACAAGGCTTGGGGAAAACAGCTAGGCTCTTCTCTGCCTACCGTGTTGAATGCAACAAACCACTGCTTAAGGCTCACTTTACTGTTGAATTCTTGAGTTTCTGGAAATAGCTCCATCCATCATGTACAGTCTCATTGACCATCCAGGGTGTTGTCAGTAGAGATAGGGTCTCTATATGTTCTTTCAAAAGCTGATGTAGCAGGTTTGTGTGTTGTGTGGTTTGTCTATTTGCTGGGGATTGGACCTAGGGCCTTCCTCATACTTCATAAGCCTTCCACCGCTCAGTTAGGACCTGGACCTAACGACCTAACTGATCTTTCCTTCGAGCCAGACTTAAAATGATAGGCTGTAGCCACCAGCCACTCAGACTCCCACTGGTGGGAGTCAGAGGTGGTAGAAAAGAGAAGCACTGTACCTGCTCTGTAGCATGCAAGGAAGACCGAGGGGAGAGACCTAAAGCAGCTGTTGGTGCCTCTGCTTGGGAGATGGGTATCCTTCTGGACTTCAGGGACACTGGGCCAATTGGGTTTCAGGCTTCTGCCGTGTTTTCAGAACTGTTCTGGGCTGACAGTGGTTCCTGGGCATGGGGAGGTAAGGCCTAGTAGATTTTGTAGCCCTGGTTATATGTGAGCCTTAAGGCCAGATGTGTCTGGATTTCTCTGGAGAAAGCTGGGTGTTAAGGTATGGTGAAGTATACATGTATAATCTGTAGGCTGCTACCATAGCTGAACTTTTGCTTCCAAAAATAATAGAATATCCAGAGTGGACCATGATTGGCATATGTTGGAAAACCCATGGTATCTTTCAGAGAGGCATTTATCAAATGAAGTACCCCTTCTCCAGCTTTAAGAACGTATCCAAGTGAAATCCTCCATTTTCATCCTGTGGACCCGGTTGGGGGAGTAGAGAGTACAGTAGTTTTGTAGCTGAAGAATCACTTAAACTTTTAGTTTCTGATAAGCGTGAGGTTTATGTTTTGTGGGACTTAGGAATTAAAGTTAGCTGCTTAGGCTGGCAAGGGTAGTAATGAAGTCTCATGTCTACCCTTCATTACCTGTGTCCTGGGCTGGGGATTTAGCTCAGCGGCATAAGCACCTGCCTTGCAAGCAGGCAGTCGTGAGTTCGATCCCCGGTACCAATTAAAAAGAAAAAGACAAAAAAATGCAACATTACCTGTCTCATCCTTCTTCAAAGGACCCCTGCTTTGTGATCTGCGGGAGGAGCCTGAAGCCTTACTGATTTACCCACTAATTCTGATAAAGGCATGACCCCACAAATGCTTCCCATTTCTAATCTGAGTCTCAGTCTCCAGAAAATTTTTTTTGCTTTTTAAAATATATACCTACAGTAAACTCAAGGCAGAGATTGAGATTTTTAGGAAGGTCCTGAGTTCCCGCTT